GTGGCTGACTAAATACTTTTTTGCCCCACTGTATATATATATATATATATATATATATATATATATATATTTTTTTTTTTTTAGAAATTATAGAAATGAATACTTTAATTTAGCAAGGATGCTTTAAATTGATCAAAAGTGATGATAAAGACATTTATATTGTTACAAAATATCTCTATTTCAGATAAATGCTGTTCTTCTTAACTTTATATTCATCAAAGAAACCTGAAAAAATTCTACTCAACATCATAATAATAACAAAAATAATAATAATCAGAAATGTTTCTTGAGCAGCAGATCAGCATATTATACTGATTTCTGAAGATCATGTGACACTGAAGACTGGAGGAATGATGCTGAAAATACAGAGCAATAAATTAGTTTCACAGACATTCACATAGAAAGCAATTATTCTAAACAGTAAAAATTATTTCACATTATTACTGCTTTTGCTGCATTTCCGATCAAATAAATGCAGGCTTGGTGAGCAGAAGAGACTTCTTTAAAAACTTGAAAAATCTTACTGTTCAAAAACTTGTGACTGGTAGTGTATGCAATGCTGTGTTTGGTCAAAAGTTATCTTAGAATTACTGTCTGAAACATACGCAGCACATCTATGATTGGGAATAGGTTTTTCATTCTGCCCCAAACACAAGAGGAAGGTTCTGTCATTAAAATTGCTCCACCTGACGTGTCTTCAGTGCTCTGGAGGTCGAGTGACGTGCTTCTGTCAATCACGCAGTACCTTGTACTTTCCTTTCACGATGGCTTCAAACAGACGCTCCTTGGTGCCGTAAAAAGGCAAACAGCCGCTCAACAGGATGAAGAGAATGACCCCGCAACCCCAAACATCCACCGGCTTCCCGTACGGCTCTCGCTTGACCACTTCAGGAGCCATGAAGTGAGGGGTCCCTACCCGACCTACATACACACACACACACACAGAGAGAGAGGCCTGAGGCTTCAGAAACAAATCAGAGCAAAGATCTGCACTTCCTGTAAACATGATCTGCTGTGGTGCGAATACACACGTACCTCCAGCCACCAGCCCTGACTCGCCCAGCTGAATCGCCACGCCGAAGCCGCCCAGTTTAACAGGAGCAGAGTTCTCCTTCGAGGCCAGCAGCACACAGTGAGGCTGAACACACACACACACACACATATATATATGAAACCACTGAATGGGTGTCCTACATAAAGCCACGTGTGTTCTAATATCACCCTCACTACATGAGATTGTGTGAGAATGAGATGAGAAGAGGACAGGTAATGCTTTTATTTCATCACATAGCAAACGAATTTCAAGAATTTAGTTTTTTGCTCTTTGGTGGATTCTACAGCCCACTCGTGTGGAGCTGAGACAACCGTCAGCAGATTGAACACACACCAACATCTCTGTGTGCTCAAGAGTCAAACACTGAGACAGCGAGAGACGACAGAGAGAGAGAGAGAGAGGTGAGAGAGAGAGTGACAGATGCTTCTGAGCGTTTAGAAGGGAAGCAGAAACACATCAGACACTTGCGGAGGAATGAAAGAGGATCTGACAGATAGACCAAAACCTTTGTGTTCCGTCTAAATGGATAAATGTGCAGCTGCAGCGCTTTGTGTAACTGAAGGAATTAACATGCAAAACTGTGAGTAGAATTTATGCATCGGCGTGTGTCTGAGATCAAAGTGCGTGTGCGAGTCATTCTATTTTTTTTTTTTAGAAATTATAGAAATGAATACTTTAATTTAGCAAGGATGCTTTAAATTGATCAAAAGTGATGATAAAGACATTTATATTGTTACAAAATATCTCTATTTCAGATAAATGCTGTTCTTCTTAACTTTATATTCATCAAAGAAACCTGAAAAAATTCTACTCAACATCATAATAATAACAAAAATAATAATAATCAGAAATGTTTCTTGAGCAGCAGATCAGCATATTATACTGATTTCTGAAGATCATGTGACACTGAAGACTGGAGGAATGATGCTGAAAATACAGAGCAATAAATTAGTTTCACAGACATTCACATAGAAAGCAATTATTCTAAACAGTAAAAATTATTTCACATTATTACTGCTTTTGCTGCATTTCCGATCAAATAAATGCAGGCTTGGTGAGCAGAAGAGACTTCTTTAAAAACTTGAAAAATCTTACTGTTCAAAAACTTGTGACTGGTAGTGTATGCAATGCTGTGTTTGGTCAAAAGTTATCTTAGAATTACTGTCTGAAACATACGCAGCACATCTATGATTGGGAATAGGTTTTTCATTCTGCCCCAAACACAAGAGGAAGGTTCTGTCATTAAAATTGCTCCACCTGACGTGTCTTCAGTGCTCTGGAGGTCGAGTGACGTGCTTCTGTCAATCACGCAGTACCTTGTACTTTCCTTTCACGATGGCTTCAAACAGACGCTCCTTGGTGCCGTAAAAAGGCAAACAGCCGCTCAACAGGATGAAGAGAATGACCCCGCAACCCCAAACATCCACCGGCTTCCCGTACGGCTCTCGCTTGACCACTTCAGGAGCCATGAAGTGAGGGGTCCCTACCCGACCTACACACACACAGAGAGACAAAAACAGGCCCAGAGAGTTCAGAACAAATCAGAGCAAAGGGCTGCACTTCCTGTAAACATGATCTACTGTGGTGCGAATACACACGTACCTCCAGCCACCAGCCCTGACTCGCCCAGCTGAATCGCCACACCGAAGCCGCCCAGTTTAACAGGAGCAGAGTTCTCCTTCGAGGCCAGCAGCACACAGTGAGGCTGAACACACACACACACACACACACACACACACACACACACTTGAAAACACTGAATGTGTCCTACATAAAGCCACACGTGTTCTCATGTCACCTTCACAACATGAGATTGTGTGAGAATGAAACGAGGACACACGGAACAAACCCTTTATAGGAAACATGTAAATACTGCGGTTCAACACAAACCACAAACATATAAGTGAACATGGCACTGCTAGACTAGTGTGTAACGGCCCATGTAACACCACTCAAGAGGAGCGGAGACGACACGCATATCTCTGTGTGCTCAAGAGTCAAACACAGAGAGAGAGAGAGAGAGACACAGAGGAGGGAGAGAGAGAGAGAGAGAGAGAGAGAGAGCGAGCGAGCAGATGCAGCGACTGCAGGAGCTTCTGAGCATTTAGAAGGGAAGCAGAAACACATCAGACGCTTGAGGAGGAATTAAAAGAGGATCTGACACAAAAACCAAACCCTCTGTGTACCGTCTGAATGGATGAACGTGCAGCTGCTGCAGTTTGTGCAATTGAAGGAATTAACAAGCAAAACTGTGAGTAGAACTTATGCATCTGTGTGTGTGTGTGAGATTAAAGTGTGTGCGCGCAAGTCATTCTACAGACGCCGTTAGTGATGACTGAAAAATCTGGAAAACACAAATGTGTGATGATTACACTTCATACTAGCGTCTGAAAATACGCCAGTCACTCCTCTACAACGAGCAAAGGATCACATTTAGATAAACCAAGTTAAAATAAAAAAGTTTGAACGACTCAAAATATGCTAAATGTAAAAAAATTTACCAATTTTTGCATGCATCGATGAAGGTCCTCATGAGCGTTTATGTGCGAAGCGTCATGCAATCATTTCTGAAATGTCAGCAGTCGTCAGACTATTTTACTATTTACAGCAAAAAAATCTAATAATTATCAAAATGAAATCCTTTGCATTACAAATACATGCAAAAAATGTGAAAGTAATTTCTTAGCAGACGGCTTCATTCAGAGCAACATACTAATGACAATAATATAAGCAGAAGTGGTTTACAGCCACTACAAACAACACTAGAGTAGAAGAGCACAAAAAAAAAGTGCTGGTTAGTGAGTCGAATGTTCCCGGTAATGATGTAAAACGCTGCACTGTCATACAGTCTAATGACTGAACTATCTCCAGCTGTAAATTAGATGTGATTAGATTAAATTTTATTTTCACTGTGCAAAATACAAGTATGTATATGTGCAGAGTACATATAGTATGTGCATTAAATATCACTATGGTTTTCTATAAAGTGAAGGTTATGAGACGAGAAAGCAGAGAGCAGCTCTCCCAGCGCAGCTGTAGAATGAGCCACTCTACACTCTTAAAAATAAGGTGCTTCTAAAGCTTCTTCACAGCGAAGCCATAGAAGAACCATTTTTGGTTCCACAAAGAACCATTCAGTCAAAGAACCATCTCTTTCTTAGCTTTTTGTAATCTGAAGAACCTTCTTTCGCCACAAAGAAGCTTTTGTGAAACAGAAAGGTTCTTCAGATGTTTAAGGTTCTATATGGAACCATTTAGACAAAAAGGTTCTTCTAATCTATAGCATCGTGAAGCACCTTTATTTTTAAGAGTGTACAGAACTAAAACACACATTCATGAAAGATGCAAGGAGAGCCAATCCTTCAGTTTTATTCAAACACGCGCTCATCCAGAAAAGAGCTGCGAAGCAATTCCAGCTTTCTTTAAATTTATGAGACGAGAAAGCAGAGAGCAGCTCTCCCAGCGCAGCTGTAGAATGAGCCACTCTACACTCTTAAAAATAAAGGTGCTTCTAAAGCTTCTTCACAGCGAAGCCATAGAAGAACCATTTTTGGTTCCACAAAGAACCATTCAGTCAAAGAACCATCTCTTTCTTAGCTTTTTGTAATCTGAAGAACCTTCTTTCGCCACAAAGAAGCTTTTGTGAAACAGAAAGGTTCTTCAGATGTTTAAGGTTCTATATGGAACCATTTAGACAAAAAAGTTCTTCTAATCTATAGCATCATGAAGCACCTTTATTTTTAAGAGTGTACAGAACTAAAACACACATTCATGAAAGATGCAAGGAGAGATCCTTCAGTTTTATTCAAACACACGCTCATCCAGAAAAGAGCTGCGAAGCAATTCCAGCTTTCTTTAAATAATTTAACAAAGCTAAAATGATCTGAAAGGAAGGAATGGAAAATCGTTTCCCCGAGAGCAGCTCCTGGAACGTTTGCCTGACCATGATTTACACTCTTCTGTCGGAGCCAGAGCGTTCTCTCGTTTCATTTTCATTGGGCTGAGATGGAATTTTCCCCTGTTGTTCAGTACAGTGAATTAAAACGTGTCTGACTCGCTGTTTCTCCCCCCAGAGCTGAAGACTCAAGCAGAAAGACTTCACCCCGATCACTCATAAGGAGATAAAAACACAAGCATCCTGCCGAACATGATGAGCACCGTCTGGCCGACTGACCGCTTCACCAACCACACCTTCAGCAACCACTCGTGTCCTCTGGAGGAGGAGACCCTGCGGCTCCCGCTGGCGGTGCTCTACTCGCTCATCTTTCTGTTCGGTCTGGCAGGAAACCTGCTGGCTCTGTGGGTCTTCCTCTTCCTGCACTCGCGCAGAAACTCCGTGCGCGTCTTCCTGATCAACGTGGCGGTGGCGGACCTGGTTCTGCTGGCGTGTCTTCCCTTCCGTGTGCTGTACCACGCTCAGGGGAACGTGTGGTCACTGGGACCGCGCATGTGCAAGGCAGTGGGCAACCTGTTCTACATGAACATGTACGTCAGCATCACCCTGATGGGTCTGATCAGTCTGGACCGCTATCTGAAGATCATCGGCGTGCGGGGCTCTCAGAGGGGCTGCGGGCCGCGCTGGCTCAGGGGCAGCCGCTGGAGTCTGGTGACCTGCGTTCTGCTGTGGAGCGGTTCTCTGGTGATGGTGGTGCCTATGATCGCACTAACCGAGGGCAACGAGGAGCCGGGGAAGTGTTTCCAGTACAAGCAGAGAAAGCACGCTAGAGGCAAAGCCTACTTTAATCTGTTCATGGTGGCGGTGTTCTGGCTGGTGTTTGCGGTGCTGCTGGTTTCATACGGACGGATCGCACGCAGACTTCTGCGAGCATCGCAGGACAAACCAGACCTGCCCAATGCCTCGCGCTACGCAAGCACCGCTAGGAAATCCTTTGTGGTTCTGCTTCTCTTCACCATCTGCTTCGTGCCGTATCACGCCTTCAGGGGCTTCTATGTTGCTTCGCAGCTCCGAGATGTTAGCTGCGAGACGCGGCGGCTCATGGATCTCACCAACGAGCTCATGCTGCTGTTCTCGGCTCTCAACAGCTGCTTGGACCCCGTCATGTACTTCATGCTCTCGGGCTCGGTGCGCAATGCCACCACTCAGGCCTTATCGCAATTCCTACACTTGCACCAGGAACCTGCGATGACCAACAGCTCGACCACGGAGTTTCGGAGGACGTCTGTGTCACACGCCTCCAATGCTCCGGTGCTGGTCACATCCAGAGGCAGCCTGGGACTCATTACGACGACCCTCCGCCTTCAGCGGTGACGGAGAGTCCTGTCCGCAGATCACGGCTCTGTCAAACTGATCAAGCTGCACCATGAGACGAAAGAGTTCACCCACATACTTGCATGGGAAAAGACTCACTGGTGTGAAACAATGACTAGCTTGAAAAGTCTGCGTGGGAAAGTTCTTGAGACGTCACTTCGAGGGGGGCATGTGAGGGATTTATGGCTGGACGCAGGAGATTGCCACACATCTGGTCTGAGATTTGAGATCGGACAGACACAACCATCATTGAAATCTCAAACTCATTTCAAGTTCAACAGATGAACACTGACTGGATGAAGGCCGCCTCCTGCTGGAGAAAGAGAGTTACTGCACCTCCTTTCAGCATTTTACAGTGGACTGTTCCTTCATAAACCAGAGCTGTGCAAAAGGAACCAGTGCCACTCCTCATATAAACCACTGGCCAGTGATAGTTTGATCTCACACAGCATGTTCATCGGTAAACACAGCAGCTGCTGAGTCAGTGATCTCATGAACTTCAGACAAAACCGATCTGCGTCCAGCTGAAGCACCAATCTGACAATAACCCCACTTTAATCACAGATGGACGTCACATTAGACGGGGTTCCTGACGGTGCAGCTCATGTCAGCGGTTCCAACGCTTTTTGACCATCTCAGTCATCTGTGACCACGAGCTGTTGAAGATCATCGTGACATGACTAACTTTTCAACTGTTTCTAAATTCACGTAGCTCAGACTGTAGAGTAACACCAGTCATGGGTTTGATTCCCAGTGAACGCACGAGTGAAAGTGTCTGCCAAATGCACAAAAGCAAATGTCTGTTTAAAGTATATTAAACAGGTATAAAGGAATAAAGCATTATTAAGAGTGTTTACAGTTTGTTTCTCACTTAACACTGGTATTGATAACTGGCTCATGGCTCAAAAAAATGCAACAAAGAAAAAGACACATGTTTTGCCTAAATTAACTCTAGGTTTATTAACAAAATAGAAAATAAAACTAGTGGTAAATGGCTCCTTTAAAGAACACAAGGTGTGTGTGATGAAGCATTTACAAAGGAATCGTCCATCTACCCTACAAAACCCCAGGAAGAGCCTTAAGTGTACTTAACTCTTTCCCCGCCAGCATTTTTGAAAAAAAGTTGCCAGCGATTTTGATGATTTTCACTAAAATTTGATGGCCTTCAGTAGATTTTGCTGAAGGCCATCAATATACACCAAAATAATATACACCAAATATACACCAAAATAACCTCTACTTTTAAACAAAAAAATATTTTTTATTCTAGCTTAAAGCTTTTTTGATCAACACTTGAATATAGGTAGGTTTCATAAAAAATGCATAATTTTGAGCAAAAAGGTGAGAAAATCACATTTTTATCAAAAACTACATCTGGATAATATTCAGTACGATTATCAAAGCATAAATCCAGTAAATCACTTCTCCTCCAAAGCTTGCACAGACATATACCACGTCCTAAATCAACATTTTACTCCGTAACATTATGCAGTTTTCATTTATATGCTGTCTATTGCTGATGATTTTAATATGCATCTGTTTACATAAGAGATCGCTCGTTTCGCCATCCTGTTCACATGTGTTTTTGTTCGGGAGGTTTTGTACTCGTTCAGAAGATGTGTAATAGCGCCCCAGAGTGTATAACAGTGAAAACAAGCTGTAAAAACTAGTCTTTGGCGGGGGAAGCGTTTTCTTGTAAAAGACGAGATAACTCGTCAATGGCGGGGAAAGAGTTAAAAGCGAAAGTCACAGGTTAGGGTTAGTGAGCAGTAATCAATCAAGACGAGTCTCACCTTGACGTCTCTGTGAATGACGTTGTTATCGTGGCAGTAGCGCAGAGCTTCAAGTATCTGCCGCATGTAGTGGCTGAGAACACAAACAACACACAGCCTAAGCACAAATCTTCAGCAGCGGGAGTGTGTGTGTGTGTGTGTGTGTGTGTGTGTGTGTGAGAGAGAGGTGAACAGGTAGTGATTCTCACCTGGACACCGCCTCGCTGTAGACGAAGCCGGCATCGGCCCTCTTCACGATCTCGAAGCACAGATCGGCTCCATCCATACTGCACACAGACACACACGGTTTAATAATGCAGCGGAGGAATTTAAATGTGAGAATGATGAAGAAACATTGTTTAAAAACTTGTGGATGCTTGTCAGAAAAGTTGAAGCAGTTAGAAGTGGAGTTAGTGGCTTACAGAGCAACAACACAACTTGTCAAATTAATATAGAATGTTTTCTAATACAAGTGTGAATATTTTGAGTCCGTTGTGTGAATCTGTTTTTACACTGATATCAGACTGATTCATTAAATTTGATATGAATTATCTGATCTTTTGAAAATAGGATTTTATTCACTGCAATGTACCAAAATAGGCATTAGCACATGATCATGTGTGACCCTGGAGCACAAAACCAGTCTTAAGGGTCAATTTTGTGAAACTGAGATTTATGCATCAACTGAAAGCTGAATAAATAAGCTTTCATTGATGTATGGTTTGTTAGGATAGCACAATATTTGAAAATCTGGAATCTGAGGGTGCAAAAAAATCTAAATATTGAGAAAATCATCTTTAAAGTTGTTCAAATGAAGTTCTTAGCAATGCATATTACTAATCAAACATTAAGTTTTGATATATTTACTGTAGGAGATTTACAAAATATCTTCATGGAACATGATCTTTACTTAATATCCTAATGATTTTTGGCATAAAAGAGAAATGTATAATTGTGACCCATACAATGTATTGTTGGCTATTGCTACAAATATCCCCCAGCGACTCAACACTGCTTTTGTGCTGCAGGGACACATATGATAAACTACTTTTCCATTAAATCTGAATTTTATTGAACAGCATGACTGTGATATGAAATGGCTCATGTTTTATTTATAAGATCTCACACACACTTACAACTCAAAGACCATGTAGAGCATCCCGTCGGAGCTGTAGGTCTCCAGCAGCTCCACGATGTGAGGATGTTTGAGCATGTGACAGATACTCGCCTCTCGCTTCAGATCTGACGGAAGATCAGTAACAGATTCATCACCTTACTGAAGATGAGAGGCATCAGTGTGACTAGACAAACATGTGAGATCATGAGCAGTGTTGGGGGTAATATATTACAAGTAACGCAAGCTACGTAATCAGATTACTTTTTTCAAAGTAACTAGTAAAGTAATGCATTACTTTTTAATTTACAAGAGAATATCCGAGTTACTTTTTCAAATAAGCAACGCAAGTTACTTTTTTTTTTTTTTTCAATTTATTGACTGACAGCTCTCCTGTCTCCATGTTGAGAGAAATCAGAAGATGTT